ATCTGCATAATTAGGGGCCCGGCCTATTTTTTTAAAAAAAATCGGGTTCGATCTGGGTCTGGCCTTATATATTTTATGAAGATTCGGGCAGGGTTCGGTTGGGCCTTGAAATTTTTTTAAACATATTAAATTTATCAAATTTTATGTTGAGTTATTTATGTAAAATAAAAATATTTTATTTTATTTATAGAAACTAGACCCTATATAACATATATCTTATATTTTGAGTAATTATAAAAATTAATTTATATATTTAAATAAATTCAGGCCGGGCCGGGCTGGTAAATTTTTTTTAAAAAAAATTCGGGTTCGGACCGGGTCGGCAAAACTTTTTAAAAAAAATTACGACCCGGGCCGGGCTTAAAAAATTAGGCCCGATGCAGATCACTAATGTTATCCGGCAAAAATCCTACAAAAAAAATTATCTAATTTATTCATCTAATTTCTATAAATCAAATGGGAAGAGTGGGAACAACAAAAGACCCTCCTCCTCGGATTTTAATTATGCCTTTTTCATAAATATTTTTAAAGGATAAGACCTAAATTTCATTATTATATTTATTCATTTTTTTAATGTAAATAAACATATTTTTATACGATTTGATTACCTTTTAACAGAACAAGCTATATAATTTTGTTATCACAAATGACTTAATATTTTGATTGACATTCAATACAAAACTAAAGTTAAAATTTTGATAAAAACCTTTCGTCTTTTTGAAAAAATATTATATACTCTCAAACACATTTTAAATAAAAAGTAGTTGGTACCATTATAATTATTGAATTAAATATATATCTCGATAGAATCTATTTCTTTTTTTATAATTTTTTATAACACTTGTATATTCAATTTATCATCGTGTGTGTTCTCTATTCTTATAAGGCAGATTCTCTGTCAGATAGAGAATCTCACGATAATCTTAATAAATATTTTTTTACAATGAATGACCATAGTATTAGGATGATTTCTTTAAATATAAGATCGCCAAGTGACAAATTGACTACTCTTAAGCAAACTATAAATGATCAACGGTACGATATCCTCCTTTTTACAAGAAACTCATCTGAAAGAAACGGAGGTATGAAATCTCTTAAGATACACCTTATACTGCAGCTCGAATGCTAAACACGTATTGGTAGGTGTGACAATTTTAATCCATAACAAGCTAATTAAATTTGTAAGCTTTAATCTAATTTCCAGTCGCATTTGCTGCCTTACCTTGAATATAGGTTACAAGAAAGTTCTTCAACATTTATGCATCGCACAAGGATAAAGTATTTTACATTGAGCTGGAAAATATCTTAAAAGAACTGCCTCATCGAGATAGTATTATATTAGCAGGCGATTTCAATGCCTTGGTCGGAAGGCCTAACAATTCTACCTGTGTCGGGAACGCCACACTAGTACAAAGTACGAACACTAATGGCAAGAAATTAATAGAAATCTGTGAACACTTCAATTTGAAAATAGGAAATACCTTCTTCAATCATCCTAGTCATCACACCATGACCTACAGAAGTCCCTCCTTTGGCACTACTCACAAATTGATTTCTTTGTAATTTCCACCAATATCTTCAAGTGGTTGAAAGACATAAAGTCGTCAGCAAATTAAACTTCACTTTATTTACAGACCATTATCCACTAGGATGGGAGATAAGGATAAACAATAGCATTTTTCCGAACCGTGATCAACAGAACCACCTTAATGCTAGGAAAGACTTGGCAGCTGAACGATCCGGATATAAGAGAAGAGTGCATCACAAAGCTAACAACATGAAGAAACACCCTAAATGGCATGATCAACCCTAATATAACCTGGAAAGATATGAAACTAAATTTATCAAGCTGTATGACTTCTGCTTAAGACCACCAATTAAACGTGAAGAGTGGCTCTCCCCTTCAACAATACAAAATTATTGAAAATTTAACAACAAACATCCCCTATAACCAATATACTATACACCACAGAAGATTCATAACTCACTGCATAAGAGCAGACAATAGATCTATTGCCAACTTATCTAGATCCATACAATATAATTTTGATAACAATAATATTTACAAGGCTTTCCAATCTCTCAAATTACTCATTACCTTTAAATCCAATCCTCTACCAAGATTACACATTGAAAACAATAAAATTATAAAGGACCCCAGGAACAATTAGCTATATGGACAGATAATTACATGAATCTTTACAGAACGAGGTGGCCCAAACCAACGTGTGATTATCCTTTCCAACCACCCAATCGGAACGAACAAAATAGATATAATCAATGCCATTAAAAGACTAAAAACCCATAAAGCTGCCGGAATCGATGGGATCTTTGCGGAACTCTGGAAGATAGATGCTGATCTAAGTTTAATCTACTGCTTCTCCTCTTTAATGAGATATGGAATACGGGCAATATACCAGAGGAATTGATGACCTCGATAATACTGAATTTCCCCAAAAATAAGAACCCGACTAGCCTGAAGGGCTACAATGGGATTGCACTGATCCCAGTTACCCTAAAAATGTTCACGTATATTCAATGATAATCATTGCGTATATTATAGCAGTCAGGATCAAACCAATCATCGATAGGAACCTCTCAAACGACATCACATCGTATAGGAAGGGTAGAAACACGATGGAACTAACCATAGCGCTTAAGGTTATTCTGGAGAAAGCTAGAATGCATAAGTCCCGGGTATTTGCCCTAATGATTGATTTAAGTCAAGCCTTTGACTCCATTATACAGCATAAAATCTGGTCCTTACTGGAGGCATAGGAATAGATAAACATCTGATTTCGCTAATAAAAATAATATACGACAATCATAACGTGGTACCACAACATCTGAAACCTAAAATCACAACCATTTAAGGCCAACAGAGGGCTGAAACAAGGTTGCATTCTATCACCTATGTTATTTAATGTTATAATGATATTCTGAATAAATCCTTCAAATAAGAATATACCCTTAACCCTCGATATCTGAATTACAACGATAATTGCTATGAATACGGATTAGAAGTCAATTACTCCAAGACAAAGTTAAGCATCCAATACATTTGCATCTAACACAGACCCCTTTAACTTTGATAATAATGTGGTAGAAACTGTTTCAGATTTTAAGTACCTAGGAACCACGATAATGTCATTAGCCACAATATTGGATACTAAGTAGAGGACAAACAAAGCCAGATCCCGATACCATCAGCTAACGAAATTATGGTCGTCCAACCAGATATCCACGAACCAAAAGATAAGATTCTTCAAATCCTTAATTCTACCCATCTTAACATACGGATTAGAAACATGGCAGGACTCTAAAAGCAATATTAACACATCTCAGACCTTTATAAACAAATGTCTAAGAAGAATTACTAAAACATACTACCCATACAACACCTCAAACTCAACTCTCTGGAATAGGTACGACATCCTACCTATCAATCGTAAAATTACTTAGTCATTGCTTAAGACATTCATAAGAAAATATGATATTTTTGTTACTATTGGCTGGCAAAATATCTAAAGGACATGGACTTGATCAATCTTTTGTTTACAGATTTTTTGGCACTCAGCAAAAACAAAAAACATTTAAAGGAACATCTACAATACATGCTTAAAATGGTCTAAACTAGAGCAGCAACGTGGAAGTATTCGAATATTCTCGCACCGTCTTATTTCCAACCTCATCTCCCGGGTTGAATGACAATTTATGTTTCGGCACAGGTTATATTGGAATTATGGATTGAATGAAATAAGATGAAGATGATGATAATTATTATCTTATTAAATTGCCCCCCTCCCCTTTATAACTCCTTTCCCTACTGGATAAACGATTTTGACGAAGGCAATGATAATCTTAGAACCGTGAATAATAATAATGATAACGATTCCGGGTTCACTATAATAATGATAATGTGGTAAATAATGAGGATCCCGAGCATCGTTTGCTTAATACAAACAAGGATTTAAGGGGATAATATTGGCTCTAGTGAATGACAAAAATTAATGAAGGTAAAAAGAAGGAAGATAACATGAAAAAAAAAATCAGACAAAACGTTAATTAAATCTTTAGGATAATGGGTTTCAAGGATTGAGATTACAATTACAATGAAGTTGGATACCTCCGGAATATGACACGCTATATAGACATAACGTTATCATCCAAAGATTACTTAACTAACATAAAACTTACTTTTTTTTTCATATCTTAAATATCTAAACAGGTGTCACGTACATAATTATTAATATTGGTTACAATTTCTTAACACTATCTTGCCGGTAACGAAACTAATAGATCCTCTCTTTCTTACTCCTCTCTTCTTTACTATGCTAGCTGACTACATAGTGGTACCGTCCACTATAATAAAACGGGTATACATCATGTATAGGACCTATATACTAGTGAATATACATGGTGCACTTGCAGCGTCTACATGACAGGATTTTCACAGGATGCAAACCCCCTTCAAAAACCTTTGCCTACCCCCCTAAAAAATTCACACCGCCTTCGGCAGCGGTGTTTCTATTATTATTCTTTTCACCCTTTAATTTATTGATACTCTTTTCAGATAATTTATAAAGGATAACTTAAATTAATCTATCTCTACTACCAACTATCGATATTTTGTGAATATAAATAATTTATTTTTTAGATAATCAATTCAATTAAAACCTCTATTATTTACTAGGAATTAATTATAATGGCATTATGTGTTTGCTGAAATATCGAAACCTTTTAAATTACATTGCAAATAGCAGAATGTTTTATTTAGAAAACAAGTATGATTGTTTTCAATATATAGATTTGGTCGATGAATTGTATTATAATAATTTAATAATAAAAGTATTAATTTTTACAGCAAAAAATTTTGTCCTATTTGATCTCCAAATTTAATAGATAACCCCCCAAAAAATTTATCCTACCCGCGTTAAAGCAGCCTACCCTCCTCAAAAAAATAGGATGCGAACTGTTACCTCTCCCGCTCATGAAGACCCTTTGCAGGCACTTGTGATGAAATTTGCGTGCAATTTCTAGCGTGGTAATAAATGAATGAATGAATTTGATGGGAAAGAAAAAAAGTATATCTTACAATATTCAATACTTACCATTATAATTTATTAGATAAACATAATAAGGAAGCAAACTATGATGAGTCTTCTAGGGATATAGAAGGGGGTAACATTTTTTTTACATAATATTAAAATTTTTAATGTTTTAAATATATGTTAAACTTAAGCAGTTTGCCAACTTAATTTTAATAAATACTAAATTAAAGAAGATGAATCCGCTATCATCAATAATGACACTAATGAGGGATCCAATACCACTACATCAACCATACATGATTACAGCAAGACCATGACATTGAGACCCGATTACTCTTCTCGGCCACTCTGGGTTACCCCTAGTGGGAGAATATTTTTGGAAGCATTTTCACCTGCTTATGCCACTGCACTAGATTTCCTCATTGCCATATCTGAGCCAGTTTCCAGAACAGCTCTAATCCATGAGTATAGGTATATATATTCACATTTATATCAGTGGCCTCACTGGCTCTGACTTATAGAGTTGTTGCTAAGCAACCCTTTTGCTTACCCTATTATTCAATCATTTATATAATCTACAATTTATGCAACATTTTTTAGCCACTAAATAATTTTTGCCTTTATAAATATATACCCTTATGGTTTTTGAATAGAGGGGTAACTACACAAGTATAAAATGAGCTAAAACATTGAAGGAAAGAGGAATAAATTCACTTGTTATGTGAATTAATATTCACAAAATATTTATAAATATTTTTATGCACTATTAACTATAAAATATATTAAAAATATTTGAAAATAACCTATTAAAACTTAAATTATTTAAGGTAAGAACTAAATGAACTATATATAGACATCTATGACACCCATATCCTCTACATTGTTTTTGCAAAAGTCAGTCTATCCAAGCACTTTGCCATCAATTCAATCATCAATAGAATTGAAAGCCAATACATTCTAACTTCACTGGAACCCTCTGGTCTCTGATCCAAAATCAAGGCAGACTGGGGACAATGCTATATCCCTTACCTGGGATTTTATTTCCTTATATCATTTTGCTGAATCATTTTCAACCAACTCCCTTAAAGTTTCAGACACTTTTAATTTATTTGTATCTCAGGCCTTAACCATTTTCAAAACAATCAGATATTTGTAACTAGAGGCATACAAGCCTGCACTGGGCTTTGACATTGAAGACTTTTTTCTTGAAATTGGGTTGAACTATAAGAGGTTAACCCAACCTGAGAATGACCCAAAAATCAAATAAGAGTGCTCAATAATCACAATAAATGTTAATCAGAATGACATCCTTTATGTCTGTGTTAAATATACTTTAGATGGCAATACGTTAATAAATACATATAATTTTTCTTTGATATTAGAATATTTAAACTAAACTCAAATTCCAAAATAATTTTAATTGGGTCAAGGAACAAAAAATTTGAATCTGGCTAGAGAAGCAAAGTTTTTTTATAGTTAGGCTTGGGTCATGAAAAAATTACTTTGCAACAGGTGATATTAGTGAATCTGAATATCATCAATTTTAATGGGTTTTTAAAAAAAATATATATTTTATTTTTTATATATTTTATAATATTCACAATATTATTTGCAAATATTAATTGAATAAATTAAATTAATATAGCATCACTTATATCCATATCACCATATTTTTGTGATTTTGCCATAAGATAAGAACTTGATCTAACATTTATCTTTGAGATTATCTAAGTATTCTTTTAGGAATAATGGGGAGGGGGGGGCAGGGTTATAATTGAATATAATCAAATAAAATTTCCCTTGATATCGTTTTTTTAATTTTCCTTTTTATAAAATAAATAAATTTTATGTCTTTTAGGTTAACACCTTATTCTTTATATGCTGCCGTATCTGTTGGAGTCACATGCCAAAGGGTCCTTGCCTATTTAGATAGGTAAAAATTATGATTATCTTGTTAAAACTTTAGAAATTGGGCACCTCTAGTACATTATAAGAAACCATGTTGAGCAAAAAAATTGCCTTTAGATGCCCACTTTTTTTCATGTCAGCACCAGGTGTTGGAAATATAATAAAAAAGTCAAATTTCCCCACAAATAAATAAAATGTATGTTAGTCTACAAAAATTGTGAATAATTTAATTTGGATCCTTATTTTTAAAATGATGTAAATTACAAAGTTTCAGTCAGTGCCTACATTTCATAGTGAGGAGAAAAAGGTTTAGCACTTTATAATTTCACTTAACAATGCTAATTCCACTAGGTTGGATTTGAATCTAATTTTTCTATTTAAAAAACAACATAATATATTATTTTTGCAAATGTTTTTAATAGGTTAAACAAGGCCACTAAATTAGACGATGGCTTGGTTAAATTTATTGAAGCTTGTACCAGCAGTTATGGCAAAATCAAGCTTGTGTTGAAACGGAATAGGTTTTTTAAAAATAGTTATACCATTTTCACTATATTTTTTAGAAATGGGGAGAAATACTATAAATATTAAGGTTGTGATTTTTTTTTTCCACAAAAATATGTTGATAGATAGAACCATATTTGATCTTAATTTTAAAGAAGAATCCTTGAAAAATATAACCTTGTATTTTCTATTTCTTTTTTTGTTATTTGAGATCAATAAATGATAATTCTTGTTTTTCTCAAAAGATTTAACCACAATTTTACAAATTTATATTAAAATATAATATTTAGATATTTTATAGAGAGTCAATATGCTGAAGTAATTCAAAAATTATTAAAAGACGAAATTATAAAAGAATGCTGGAGAAGAGGAGAACAGGACAATGAATTTTCTAAAGATGTCAATCAAGTGCTTAATTCTTATATATAATTTTTTTTTTAAATGATCAATTTAGTTTGTTTAATTTGACTCAAATTGGGCAATTAATAAAGATGCTTCAGTTATTATGATTATGTATAATCTTTCAATTCAAAGTATAGAAATAATATTCTTTTTTTCCTTTTAAATATCCTGCTTTGATTTAATAAAAAATAATAATTAATTCAAAGAAGTCTTTCATATTAACTTATATTTTCTCTATATAGGTGTTTCTGGCTTATATCCATCAAAAATATAAAGATTGATATAGAATAAATAGGAATGAAATAAAATTTAATTTCTTTTTTTAAAATCAGAAACAATCTTCTCAACCCTACAAAAATATTGGTGATGTAACGAAAAACGATAAACTGGCCGAAAATCACACCGAAATACCGGAAGATATCCTGTCATATTACAAAATGCTCGAGGAAGATGAAGAGGAAGGCAATGAAAGGGGGTTGGACGGTTCGGACAATATATCCTTTGAAATTAAACAAGAGAAAATCGAGATTTTACAAAAAAGGTTGTGATGACTAATACCTTAAATCAACTAACTATTAACTCTGATACCAAGAGGCTCAAAACTTAATAATATTTATTACCATACCATTTTTACAAAATTTTTGTATATTTATAGATTTTTTTCTCACTAACTCTTTTTATCAATTTGTAATCTTAGCTGATAATTAATCTATTTTTCACTTTCAGCACATCTTTTTTCCTAAATTTTTCATGGCTATCTTCGATTTTCTGTATAGTATATAACCTTTTCTCTTTGTATTTTTAAAAAGTTTTATTTTTTTGAAAAATATCTTATCCACTTGAAAATCTTATTGGATTTATCTTACTGAATGCTTGAGATCCATATTTATTGTATTCACTTTTATTTACGGTTACGGGGAAATGGATGAATTGCAGAATGGCATCATCAAGAAAAACTTTTATTTATTTTTTAAGAGTAATAATTTTTTTTTTATTATAATCTATTTTTTTATGTGCTAGGTGTATTGAACTTGAATTGCCTCTCCTTTCTGAATACGATTTTAGATCCTCCACTTCAAACACCACGAATATACCCCCATTTCGTTTGAGACCCACTGCATGTCTCAGACCTTACCAAGAAAAGTGCTTGAAGAAAATTTTCGGGGGAGGTGCCGGCAAAGGGAGAGCCAGATCAGGAGTGGTAGTTCTTCCCTGCGGTGCCGGAAAAACACTGGTGGGCGTTGCAGCTATATGTACCGTGGCCAAACCTGCTCTCGTTTTATGCACGTCGGGTGTGAGTGTGGAACAATGGAGAGCACAGGTTTTGTTCTTGCTACTGTATTATTTCGAAATGGGGGAGAGAGAAGGATGAGGGGACAAGAATGCTACTACATTATTTCGAAACATGGGAGAGGGGAGAAGAGAGTAAGGGAACAAGAATGTAAGGAAAAGATCATTCCATGCCAAATCGACCAAAAAAAGGTCATTTTCGTGGACCTATTTCGAATTGAATGATACTCTGCGCGATGATAATATATGGTGAGGACCTATGCAATTTAATTTAACTTAATTAGTTCTGGAGGTATTAGCGGGTTAATGTCAAAAAATGACGTCCTTCTAATTTGGAAAACACGATAAAAATAAAGATTAACTTAAAAAATATAAGTGATAAATAGCCCTCGATCACTTTCTTAAAAAATTATTTAATTTTTTTTTTAAAAAAAAATCTCAGGTGTTTTTTATTTCCAGAAATGGTAGAGGTTGTTTTTAATATCTAATGGAGCTAAAAATTTTCTGAAAATTTATATGTATGTTTATTAAATATCAATTTAAAAAATTAGGTTGAGAAAACCATTATTTTTTAGAGTTGAATTTTTTTAAAATAGATGTAAATAGAAACACCGGTAAAAATTTTTAAATTATGCAAGCAACTGTTATGTAATCTTAGAATAAAAGGGAACTGACACAGTTGCAATAACCCCCATATTAATTCTAATATTGTTTTATATTAATTTTATTTTAAAAAAATATTTTTTTAGATTTTTTTAGCACATCGCCATTTATAATGACTTTTTTATCGATAAAAATTAGAAAAAAAATTAAATAACTAAAAAATAATATTTTCAAAATTTAATTTTTTTTTAATATAAATTTATATTGATTTAATAAACATATATACAAATTTTTAGAAAATTTTAAGCTCAGGAAGATATTAAAAATCCAACCTTTTCCGGAAATAAAAACACCTGAGATTTTTTTAGAAAAGAATAACTTATTTTTAAGAAAGGGATTCAAAAACTATCTATTGATACCAAATATAGGTCACTTATAACTTATATTTTTTGAGTAATCTTTATTTTTAGCGGTTATTTTAAAATTAAGAAGGAGGTCATTTTTTAGCTTAGACGCGCCATATATCCGGAACTAATTAAGTTAGAGCTTAAAAAATTAAATCGCATACTCACAACCAAGCTTGTTAATCGATTCTTTTAAAAAGATCGAATCACGATCTTTTGAAAAAAAGAGGATCAAAATCCAGGATCGAACTTTTTTTTGATCCTTTTCTTATTTAAATTTTGATCGATGCAAAATTAACTAATATAAAAATTAATTAAATATGGTAGAAATTTATTGTAATTGAATAATATAATATAAGTATAACAATTAGAATAATTTATTTATAATTAAAATTAGCCTTTAATAATAAAAAATTTTCTAAATTATCATCATTTAAACAACCACGTTTTTCATTAAGTACATGTTTAGCTTGTTATATTCAATAAAAAAAAATTTTTAATTAATATAATTATTAAAAATATTCACTGAATCATCATTGGAATAAAAAAATTATTAATGGAAAGAGCATTTTGTGACGAATTTTTTCAAAAAAAAAGGTATCGATTTCATCCATGCATTCATTTGAAGCATCTGCATGTGGTTGACCTTGTATATTTTCTAAATGGGCAATCAACCTTTTAACTTAAATTTTGGGTGAATTATTGATGCCAATATATTATTGTCATCATATAGTGAAGGAAATCTATATTAATAAATGATAATTAATTTATTATTAAATAAGTGTTGTGAATCCTATTTGATCACAAACTTCTTCTACTTCTGAAAACTTTTCATAGAGCATTTTGTCCATTAATTTCATTGACTGAAAATAGAGGTTCCATCGTTGGGCGCTATAAGGTATCTTCCCAATTTCTCCAATAGAATATCAGCCATCTTTAAGGACATATTTTGTTTGTTAATTAAAACAAAACATTTAGCAAATATTGTTCTTGATATTCGCTTATAATTAATATCATTTTCTGTCTTCTCAACATCTTTGGTTGCATTAAGGTTAAGATTATGGCAACAACGTTGATGTTTTGGTTGGCTGATGGTAGGATTATTTGAGTCATCAGCAGATAATATATCATCTAAATTTATTAATTCCATATCCTCACTATCTTCTTCATTTTCTCCAAAAACTTTAAAAAAATGAAAAATTTATTTTAGATAATTTTTTTTGTATATAAATATTACTTGAATGCCTTTACAAAGTTGGTTCCATTATCGGTCACCATCTTCACCACCTTATTATGAATTTTATAAGTCTTGTGGATATCCATAATCTTCTTAGCCAAAACATCATATGTTTGCTTTCCAATTATACGCCTCAGTGCTAAAGCAGCTGATCTTCTCTTGATGGTTAATGGGTCCAGCCAATGGACAGTAACTCCAATAAAAGCCCTAAAATAAAATATTATAAAATTTATATAAATATAATATACCTTCGATGACCACTCCAACAATCAGCAGTGGTGCATACATACGAGACTTCAGACAAATCTCTTAGAAGATTTGTTGTCATATCTGTAAAGGCAATAGATATTTTTTTGCCTAGAGTTTGATGACATATAACTTTTGTTGTTGGAGAAAAATTTTTAATTATTTTCTGAAATGAAGGATCATCAACCAGTGAAAGTGGTTGAAAGGTGTCAATAATAAACACCATTACAACTTTGTCTGCTGTTTCTTGCGATATTGATGATGTTAAGATTATAAAAATTTAATTTGGTTTATTTGGATCTGCAACCAGGACCACTTTGCTTTTGTAGAGATTTATTTGTTTATGTTGAGAATTCATTTAAGTGTTTGGCAAATACATTTTTGAATTCACTGTGCTTTCTCTTTATATAAGAAAAATATATTATGTAACAGAGTTGGATGAAAATAACTTCCCCTGAATCAAATCTCAATTTTAAAATTTTAGATGTAATTTTTTAAAAATGTAAGTTAAAAAATGTACAGACTGAATGTAAAACCTGTATAAACAAAAATATGATAAAGGGTTCAAAACTTTTGTTATATATGATTATGTATATTATTTATATGTGGTTAAAAAGGTCATATAGGTTATCTTAAAAATCCAAGTTTACAATATTTTCTTCTACCATTATTAAAAGCTGTTATGATATGAATAATACTGAGGCTTTTTATGTATTTAAGAACTTATGAATTAATGGTTCAACACAAATTTTGTTATACACAAAGTATATTATATATGTGTGGTTAAAAGAGTCATATAGGTTATCTTAAAAATTCAAGTTTACAATTGTCTACCATTAAAAGCTGTCGAATGGGCAAAAGATTTTGAGAAAATATTTTATGAACATTTATTTAATAATAAATTAATTATCATTTATTAATATAGATTTCCTTCTGATGACAATAATATATTGGCATCAATAATTCACCCAAAGTTTAAGCTAAATTAGCCTTATATTAATCTGCCACAAAATCTGATGCTAAAAAAAAAGGTTAATTGCCCATTTAGAAAATATACAGTGTCAACCACATGCAGATGCTTCAAGTGAATTGCATGGATGAAATCGATACCTTTTTTGGGAAAATTAGACACAAAATACTCTTTTCATTAATAATTTTTTTTATTCTAATGATGATTCAGTGAATATTTTTAATAATTATGTTAATTTAAAAAAAAATTTATTGAATATAACACGCTAAACATGTACTTAATGAAAAACGTGGTTGTTTAAATGATGATAATTTAGAAAAAATTTTATTATAAATAAATATATTCTAATTGTTATACTATATTATATTAGTTTTTGCATCGATAAAAAATTTAAATAAGAAAATGATCGTGATCGCTATCCTTTTTTTAAAAAAAAGATCGATCCTGAATTTCTATCCTCTTTTTTTTAAAAGATCGTGATCGGGATTCGATCTTTTTAAAAGGATCGATTAACAAGCCTGCATGCAACAACAACAACTTAAAATGATAATAAAAAAAAATTAACATGATCGTTTCGACTAAAAGGCCAAACTTTGGAGTACTATAGAAGACGCCCAAATATACCGGTTCACATCTGACACTAAAATGTCTCAATCCCTCCTAGCCACCAGTATATCTAAGTGCTCCATATGTATCACCACGTATAGTATGATAGCTCACACAAACAAAAGGTCTTGGGAAGCCGAAAGAGTCATGGAACAGTTAACATTGAGGGATTGGGGTATCATGGTTTTAGATGGTAAAAAAAGCTTCTTTTTTTCTTTCTAAATTTTATTTTTTATATTGAGTGAGTATCATTAAATACCTTTGAATAGTGTTGTTTAAAAGCCCTACTTTGGGTCGATTTACCACCCCGTTAAGATTTTAACCAAAATAAAATATAATAAGCCTCGAGATTTAGCAAATAAATGTCCAAAATTTTCTGCCATCTATGAGCAAAATCTCCAGGTTTAATATTATTTTGGTTATAATCTTAATCCGGCAATTCTTAAAAATCGACCCTAATGGGGCTTTAAACAACATTCGTTTTTAGACTAATTTTGAAAGTGAACGTGAACTTATTTATTTTTTTGACGAACGGATACTTTTTACGTTCATTTTAATTTATAAAAAATTTTTTAAAAAATTTCATCACGCTTTTATCTTCTGACTAGTGTGCTGCTTGTATATAGTACCCTTATTTAAAATGGTTTATATTTATTTAATATTTAATTTTATAGATAAATTATATTTATCCACTATTTTATCTTGAGAATCGCTGTGGATATTGTCTCCACAAAGCGAAATGATTAAAAGACTTATATCATATTTAAATAAATCTGTGCAATAACCTAGGAAGAAATAAACCTGAGGAACGGGACATAAATTCTGATTTTTTAAAAAAAAATTAATGTACTATAAATTATTGGGTAATTTAGAAATATAAAACTGGGACCGACTTAAATCGCATTTTAAACGATCTAACGCATACAGATTGATTTTAGAAACCAGTTGGAAGTAGATTTATTCTAATTCGGTCAGGCCACAACCGATAAAAATAACCCGATTCCATTTGGGCTTTAAGATTGACCTGCATACAGCTAACGTCTCTTTTTGAAAAAATTTTTAAACAGCTGATTTGTCGTTCACTAGATAAAATAGGCATATCAATAATTATTTGATTTGTGTGATTCAAATATTACACGAATGATAATTTTTGAAAATAATAAATTTAATAAATATTATAATATATTTGTTGAATATTCTAATATTATTAATTAATTAATATTTAATTTAACTCTAAATCAAATATTTTATATTTTCTGGCACTATTTTTAAAATTAAATTAAAACAAATGTAATTATAAGAATTTTGCAATCAATAGGAGAGGAAATAATAGCTATTTTTTTTTCTTATGAGTTTCTCTTTTTATAGATGTTGATTTCTAAGAATGGACCGAGATTACAGTTTGTTATTCTTATAATGATTGTATTTTTTAACTTACGATTATAAATTTTGCGATAAAATGTAAAAAAGAATTGAATAAAAAAAATACGAATAATACATTATTTGTCAACGAATATACCAATATTTCACTATTCGAATTCTATTTTCTGGAGGCTTAAGATTAAATATAAAATCTTTATTCATTAAATACAACACTTAAATCCAGCTCTCTAAGAAAATGTTTTCCCATAGTGAAGCACAGTGAATTCCGTTTTAACTACGAAAACGTTCTCTCCTGCATATCAGACGAAAATTTATAATATTTTAAATCATGCTTTATCGTTTTTTAAAAAATATTTTTATACACTATTCTCTATACAAATGATATTATTAGACATCCATTTATATCATAAAAAATTATTTAAAAAAGTGTATATTTATAGATTTGAATGAACACGAGTTTGAACGCGTTGATTTTTTTATAGTTGAACGCGAACGAACTAAACTGAAAAGGGAATGACAAATTTTTTGAGATTTTTTATTGCTTTTGCTGCAGAATTTTATTTCACAGATGAATATTTATGAAATTCACTTATTTTATTTATATTTAAGAGGTGCACACGATTCCTGCCAAGATGTTTCGGCGTGTGCTCACTATAGTCAGATCTCATTGCAAATTGGGTCTCACGGCCACGCTCGTCAGGGAAGATGATAAGATAAGGGATTTAAATTTCCTCATAGGTTATAACAATTGAAATTATTCTTTATTTTTTAAAGAGTTTGATATTAATAATTATTCGAGGGTAGTTAATAAGATAAAAGAATATATATTACAGTAATGGACCTATAACAATTTTCCCACTTTTAATCCCATGTGTCCTATATAATCTACAAAATGGTTCTAGGAAGTTTCAAATATAAAATGTCTTAATTCATTTTTTTTATTAATTTACCTGTTCGATACAAACGATTAAATTTCTATTTTTAAAAAACCGCAAAGGGGAGGAGAAGGAAAAGGTCGTTTTTTTTAATATTAATTTTTGTGACATTATTTTTAAAATTGGAATATAATAAAAAGAAATACTTTAAAGTAATAATCTAATCACATCTGAATTTTGATCAAAGTATTAATATTTTTTTATTACGCATCCACAAAAGCTTAAATTTAATCCGTTATTTTGGGACGTATATAAAATAATAAGGGACATTTTATAGGTTAAAGAAAAAAATTAATTATATAATGCACATTTAAAAATTGTTTTCTAACCTTACTTTTTGAAGGTCCTAAACTATACGAAGCTAATTGGCTTGAACTTCAAAACAATGGTTACATAGCGCGTGTCCAATGCGCCGAAGTGTGGTGCTCTATGAACAAGGCTTTTTTCGCTGAGTACTTATCCATGTCCAGCATAAAAAAACTCGTGAGCTTTTTTATGCTTTCTATATCTTCATATTTATCCATTATTATTCCTTTTATATTTGTATCACTGAGAACTGATCAGGCACAGTCCGAAAAATGGTACGATTTGTTTAAAAAAATTGACGCCAAGCCTATTTTTTGTTAAATAAATTTAAATTATATCAATTAATCAGTTGAAAAATTTAATATTATTTTTTTTACTGTTTTTTTTATTCAAAAGTAATAAATATGCGACCGTGTGGATATGGATGGAAATTTTTTGATGTAATAATAATTCAAAGTTTCATTACTCAAAAGTTTTAAGAATTCCATAGTTTTTTCTAGTGAAAATTTTCACAATTCTTTAATTTTACATTAAAAATAGAGTATATTATTTATATTTTTTTAAAGGGCGTGTGCTATATTGGATGTTACTAAGTTAGGACTATTAAATCAAATACTAGATAATTAAGCAATTTATTTGAATAAACATAATATACAAACTGATAATATATAGATATATATAATTTCAAGGAAAAACATAAGTTCTATATAAATTTATATCATTTAAAAATTTAATTAATTCTCTTAAATTTGACATATTTTTAATATTACGAAAATAAGAATATTCACATATGTATAAATGAGAGGAAGATTTTCTTCAAGTTCTTGAGATGCTCGCCTTAATTTCACCTATATCCAGACAGAAAAAAAATAATCTAAAATTACGCTAATTGAACGAAGAAAGTATGCAATTCTTAAAAATTTTGAGTAATGAAGTTTGAATTATTATTACATCAAAAAATTTCCACCAATATCCAGACGATCGCATATTTATTATTTTTTTAATAAAAAAAATTTTTTTAAATATTTAAAAAAAATAATAATATTATAAATTTCCCCGAGTTTCAGTGAGTTACCGAAAAATCATATAAAGGAGGGTTTAATATTAATAAAAATTATGGGGGAGGGCGGGTAGGGAGGGGCAAAAAATGATTTAAAAATAAAAAATTCATTTAGATCATGTTAAAAAAATTTCGGTTTTTTTTATCAAATCTGAGCTGGACCTAAAATTTTTGCCTCTGCGGGTCTCCCATTTAGATAAGATTTACGCAACGATAGATTATAATATATTTTATCTGCCAAAATAATTACTAAATTTTTATTATTTTGTAACTTTAATATAAAAAAACACAAAGCTATTATGTGTAATGAACCCGGAGAAATTTCGGGCTTGCCAATTTCTCATCAATTTTCACGAGGCCCGTAAAGATAAAGTTATCGTTTTCTCCGACAACGTTATGGCTCTGAAACACTACGCCCTTACTTTGGGTAAACCGTACATATATGGCCCTACGAGTCAGCAAGAGAGAATACACATCCTGCAAAATTTCATGCACAACCCTAAGATCAATTGCATATTCGTTTCCAAAGTTTTTTTTAAAATATGACCATCACCTCTTTTACGTTATAGTTATGAAGTTTTTATATATGTTAGTTCTTATACTGAGATCATTTGAATTTTGGCAAATGAAGATAATAATTGTTTGTCCTACCGATTATTAATTTTAAAAAATCTCCACCCATATTTTGATTTTATTCACTTAGTTATTTTGAAAGATAATTCATTTAAAATCTAAAAGAAGGTGTTGTAAAATAATTTAACATGAAGAATATTACTAGTAATATCCACGAAATAGTCTACTAAGCCTACCTTAATTTTTATCCAAAAATATTATTTTTGTCAATTATTTGGGTAGAGGATAGGCATAGGGATTCATTATTATTAGTAAAAAAAATTTAAATGGCATTCTCCTTATGACTATAAAAAATTTGTACCCCATTTTTAAAAAAATATTATCATTATCCAAGGTGGCGGATAATTCTTTCGATTTGCCAGAAGCGAACGTTTTAATACAAATTTCTTCTCATGGAGGTTCTAGGAGACAAGAGGCCCAAAGGCTCGGTAGAATTTTGAGAGCTAAAAAAGGTTTGGTTTTCTTTTTTTTATAAAATTATCACTTTAAAACTTTTAAAATATTGTTTCTAAGAGAACCAAAAGCAGTTTTTTATAAAAAAAAAACATTTAATATAAACTTTAAATACTTAAGACTCTATAAATTCGCATTTTTTTTTCTATAATAACGTGTTTTATTATTTTGAAACATCAGGAAACTATTAATAGGTCATTTTAAAAAAATATTTTGAAATTTAAACATAAGTTTCTTATAATTTCTCTATTAAAAAAATTCATAAAAACTAATGTTATTCCCTTTATTTTTATATTGTATTTTGTACATAGGTACAACAAATACAGAGGAATTCAATTCTTTTTTTTATAGCCTAATTTCCCAAGACACCTTGGAAATGCATTACGCCATCAAGAGGCAAAGATTTCTCATCAATCAAGGCTATTCTTACAAGGTTGTTACTCACCTTAATGGGATAGAAAAGGCTGATCTATTTTACTCTACTCAGGTAACTTATTAATTCCTTCTTGTTTTTTATTATTATAGAAGTGTGGAAAATATTGAAAGATAATAGGGGAGATATATAGAATAAATAAATTGCGAATTCTCTATAAAATAACCTTTTGGTGCTCCAAAATTAAACAATCTGCTATGAAGTCAAATTCTCCCCTATTCATTTTTTATTTTTAATACGGGAAGCTATACATATGGAGCCTAACGACGCTATAACGGCATTATATCAAATATTTGTGACCTTATTTATTTTTTTTATCACTTTTAAATTTAATTTATTTTAAGCAAGAACAAAATCAGTTATTGCAAAAAGTTTTAACCGCAACTGATGAAGATCTCGTGGAAGAAAATACGAATGATCCGGATGATATCAATGCTGATACAAAGGTTTATAAAATATTTATAATGAATTAAGATTTACAGGAAATGGATGTTTCTTCAAATTTTTATAGTATGGTTTTTTTATGATATAAATTTTCTATTTTGGCTTGGGCGCTTATTTATAACATTTTTTTAACTTTACTAATGTTTTAGAATTAGATAAACAATTTTTGGGTTTTTTGAATGTTTTTTTTTTATTTTTATAGTAAAATAATCCTATGTTTTATATAAAGTCATATAAAAAATTTTATTTAACAATAAATCTTCAAGATTTCTATATTTATAATTAAAAGGTTACTTCAATAAGTGTTTAAAATATAAAAGCTTAATTAGAAATATGAATGACTTATAACATTTTTAGGGGGGTAAGCTTTGTCCCACCTTATGGCGCCCGTTATTTTTTCCACACTTACCTTTTAAGGGATAAATTTCATGTAAATTTAAATGTTAGATTATTTGATTCTAAACTAAAAACGGCTAAAAGCTGGTATGTAAAATATATATACGTTAAATAATTAAAAGATATGTTTTTAATACTAACCACACACCCCCAGAGAGAAACTGCTGGTAGGGGTTATATGGTTAATAGATTCATTTTTTGCTTGATTATATTGGCAAACTAAGTATGAGTAATGGCTCATGTAGGTGGGGAAAGGAGGGGGGCATATTTATTTTTAAAAAAAATTTTGTGGACATTTTTTATGAGTTTTATATTTTTTTATAAATGCACGTATATTTTTGAAAGTATAAAAAAATTGTCATTATACCATCTAAATATTTTTAACATTTTTTTAAAATAAATAATAAGGCTACTTGGAGAACCGGAAAAATAAGTTCGTTATCGGGTGCCGATGAAAATGTTTATAAGGAATATTCCACAAAAATGAATCGCAACAACAAAGACAAACACATACACCCTTTATTCAAAAAATTCCGCAAATGAGATTCTATATAGATGAATTTGTATACAAATTAACTCAAACAATCTATAAATTTCAATTTAAAGAATCCTTCTACATAATATTATTATTTTATAAAGATTTTTATTTATTTTTTACAAGTGTCTGTAAATATTTTATAATTTCTAATCCAGGAATACAAATAAAGTGAATTAGTGAGTTTATGAAACATTATTTTTAATTGAATTAAGCATGCCAACGTCATAAAAATGATTTTTAATAATAGAGTTATATAAATATTGTTTGAGGCTTATCAAAAAGTGCCGACAAATATCCAATGGTGTTAAAAAATTAGAATTTCGAATCCATAATCCTTCATATATGTTTAGATGGGAGGTGGTCTATGCCAATCCACGAGAAACGCCACTAACCTCATTATTTGCTTGGGTATTCTTCCTAATAATTACATCAGGAGCTTAATATGAGCAAACCAAAAAGACTCAAGATTATGGGAAGCTCCTAACTTTAAATTTCGTGGAATTGTGTTTCATGCTGAATGCCTTACGGATTTAAGCATATTTATATATAACGTTAAAAAAATAAAAAGTTCCATAAAGAACATGTTGCAAATAATTTTAATATTAATTAAAAAAAATTGAATAATAAATTTGGAGCGGCACCTAATACTGGCTACATATACTATATAAAAGATATGAGTTATTTAAAACAATAAAATAATGTTCATTGTGTATTGATATTGATAAAAAATAATTATGTTTGGTTTAGTTTATTTTGGAATATGGATGCATTTTAAGTTTTATTAAAATTTTCAAGATGTTGATAAACTCATTTTATAAGATACCCCCTACTCTTTAAAAAAAATCAACTTATCTTAAATCCTAACTATAGTTGGGTAATGGCTAATTCGGTTCAATCTTCAGGCGCCAAAATACGTTAATATTAGAGCGTTTTAATGCATATAAGTTTCTTCCAAATTTGAGCTGCTATCTTTTTAAGAAAAACCCCAAGAGAAAAATGATAGTTTTTGGCTTAAAACGTGGTTTTAGCCGGCTAAAAATATAATAATTTCCCAACTATATTCTTAACACTTTGCTTTCATATTAATCATTTGCTAACATTCTTATTCTTCTGTTTTCAATTTCTGTTTATTTATATATAATTATTAATTCTGATTCCAATTTTTGTGTCTGGCAAATATTTCAAAAAAAATAAATGATTTTACGTTTATTGTGTTGGTATTAAATGACAGAGTGGGTAGGACAAAAGTTAGTTAGAAAAGATTCTCTTATTTCCACCTCACGATTGATAAACATTTAGGCACTATCTAAAAAAATTTATGATTGGTTTTAAATAAAAATGGTCACATTATTTTGTGATGATAAGTATGGAAATCTGAAATGGCCGCCAATATACTTGAAGCGATGAATTCGTAACAGATAAATATTTGAAATAATAAAATGGTCATCATTCTAAGGCCTGCTGTGAGCTTAGTATTGGATAAGACTGATATTTACCGTTTTAAAAAATAATTCGGATCAGGCCAAAATTTTGCAAAAAACCAATCCAATAGTATTGTTTTTGGTTATTATGTTAGCGGCAATATGTTTTTTCCGGCAATGTGTTATTTTTTCAAGGTTAAATCATTTTTTGAACGTGTTTTTTAAATATAAAAATGTGATTTTTTCTAAAATGTAATTCAGCATGTTTAGAATATCTTCTATAAATTGTGGACAATTTTGCCCTTAATCTTTGAGACATTTATAATTTATATAAAAAATTTAAGAAAAAATGCACACATGACAAAATCGTCTGAAATTCACGGTTAGGTTTTCCACACATATGGAATACATTTCCGGTAAAATCAGATTTTTAAAAAAAACGCTCTCAAAAAATGATTTAAAGTTGAAAAAATAACATATTGCAGCTAACATATTTAAATAAAATATAAATACCATCATTTTATTAGTAAAAAGTTATCGAAATCAAGTGTTGGATTTGTTTTAAAAAATAGATATCGTATTTGTACATATCAATGGCTTTTATTTAACAATCGGCTTTTTATTTGATAAAATATCAAAAAAATTTCCTCACAGAAAGTAATATTATACTGATAATAAAAAAATCATATTATTTTTCAATCTTACCCCATGATTTTCTGATTATTAAATAAATTATTTAATTTAAACCAAAATAAATCCATTTTTATGCCAAACCTAGTTTGTATAATTTAGAAAGGGCCATCTAATGTGGGTTAGAAGATTAATTTCTCAAAATTTTATAATATAAGATTAATTAAATTATTTTGAGTCAGTTAAAAAGTGAAGCTTCTTTATTTATTAATTACATTTCAAGGAAGGTTGATATTAATAATATATTTGAAATTAAATTTGCTCAAATACTAAAAAATTAAATTATAACATAACAAAATAAAATTGATTAATAATAAAATAATAAATTAAAATAATTGGCTATATTTTTTAGCAATTGTAGACTGGTAATAAAATAAAAATTGGCTATATTTTTTAGCAATTGTAGACTGGTAATAAAATAAAATTCTTATAATTTGTTTATTTTATAACATATTAGTTTTTATGCACTTTTTTGATAAAAAATTAGTATATTCTTTCCATGTTAATTAAAATTTTTAATATAATTAAATCAAAACCATCTACTTATTTGCATCAAAATTTATTTGTATTTTTTAAAAAAATTAAACTCCGAGGAAAACTTGAAAATATAATCTTTATTATCATTATTTTTTTTCTTCCAATTTTTGTGATATAAAATATAAAATAATGAAAATAAACTATAATTTTATCATATATTCAATTCAAAAATCTTATAAATAAATATGAAAAATATATTTGATCCTGGGGCGGAATCTTCTGTGTTTTCGCCCCCTTAGTTAAGCTCCTATGTATGTTTCATTCAGCTATATATTCTGTTTTTATATTTATGGTAAAATCGGAAACAGTTTCCATTGTTTCATTTTCAGTAGTTTTATTATCGAGAGCGTTCAATTCCGGTATTTCTGTTTTGATATTCAGTGCGTTTTCCTAGGTTTATATTAAATATAAATAACGTTGATCCTTTTTATTTAGAATATAAACTTATCCCTAAAATTTTATTACACCTCTCTTATTATATATGAAATATCAATAAAGATATCATAATATTTATATCAACACTCACAACTTCAATATTCTCATTGAGATCTTCTTGGAGTACAGGCTTTTCTTCCTCCCAGCATGAAGGGTGATATAACTTTTCAGTTTCTAAATATCGCATGGCATCCTTAAGAACCCATTCTTCTCTGTCCTCGTCCCAGGCCTGATCAAATACTTCTCGGCATATTTCGCAAGCCTAAAAATTATAAATTATCCAAAAAAATTTAAGATATATTGTTTCCCTAATGTATTTGTGAAAACAAGAAATAATATTTAATATTTTATTACATAATAATTGCTAGCAAAATATATATTGATATTTTTATAGATGATTTAACAAATATATAAACTACATCGTTTTCCCCTGCTATAGGGTTGGCTTCAAATCGTTTATCAGTTTCTTCTTCCAATTTGGCTTGGTTGATATATTTGTTTTGTAAATCATTGAGCATTAATCTATTTATTTTTAAATTTAAAATATATACATATATCATAATGGGATATAATTTATGGGTTATTATCTTAAAAAAAGGATCTAATTTTAAAATTGAATATCAAAATGCATTAACAATAATTTCCTTTACAGAATTATGTTGAATATTGATTAAAATATATCCAATCAAAAATATAAAAACTTGAAATTATCTTTTGTTTGATACTCATTGTAATGAGTGGAATCTGATGGACGAAGGATAGATGCCACTGATTCGGGAATCATTGGGGCAGCACTAAGTAACGATGAGTCTGCTTTATGTTGTGTCAATTTTAGCTGTTCGAATATTTCGCTCCGGGCTAAAAAGAACATAAAAACAAAGTTTTAGCAAGGATTAAAATGTTAGAATTTTTTTTAACAAAAAATGCTTAGTAGTTTTTTTGTTTTCATCTCAAAGAAAGATGACCTTTTTTCGTTACCGAGCTTAAAAATATTATTATCTTGCATCCAATATTAACCAATTATTAGAGGCAATAAAAAAATCTAAATAGTCAATTCTATTCATTTCATAAACTAAAGTAGATTAATTATCTAAATAAAATTAATTAAAAAATAGGCGGAATGATAAACACCTTGAAAACAAATATCAAAAAAGGGGGAATACCGTTTTCTCCGCCTTGAGCGCTATTTTCCAGGAAATCACCTACCTCCTCTAATTGGCACCAATCGGTTACAGGGTAATACCAAGCTCGGACCGCCATTTTTCGGGCGATAGAACCCATTCCACCTCCTATTTCCTTGAGTTTTCTGTTTTTCCTAAAGTGGTAATCCAAATGGTCGGCATATCTTATTTTATATTTTTATAAATAAGGTATCATTGAAGTGAATGATTTAATATGAAATCTAAGTTGTAATATTTAACTAAATTGTTATTCTACAAAAAATTTAACTTTCTTTCTCTTGCCTTTTTGGTCATGAATATAACTTTTAAAAAATAATAAAATGGATAAACATAAACAATCTCATATTAAAAATTGAAGCCCCCAAAAATGACTTTAAAAAAATATTGTTTAAATAAAGGAGAACAGTCCAGAGGATTGGATGTGATGGAACTCTAGGGATATTTTTTAGTTGAAATGCCCCCTCATTAATCACTCGGTAATTTACGAGAACATCATGGATAAAACAAAAGGTTAACGCTTAGTCAAACAAATAGGGCAAGCAATACAAAAATGTAACCTTCTATTTTGGACATCTGAGTCGGAATTGTAAAAACGACGTCCACAAGACGCGCATTGAAAACCATTGTACAGTGAGTTTATGACACCGGGATATTTGCTTTTATGTAAGTAAAATCCAAGGAATCGAATAAAATAAAAATGTATTAAAAATTAAGGAATGTGCCTCTCACCTTACAATCTTAAGTAATATGTCTATTTTATTTATAGTTAAATTGATCCATTATATAATTAATTTTATACATATTTTTAAAATAATAATTTTAACTTATTGCAAGTTTTGTAAACAGCAATATTTATAAATATATTTTTCCAAATGCTCCTTTCTTTCCTCCTTCCCTTCATTATTATCTTAAGCCGTCGCTCTCTTCATTTAATTATTCCCAATAAACTTCAATAAATTACTTACACTTTGAGGGCCTTAACATCGCAAATATCTAATTCTGGTATCTCTAGAGTGAGTCCTTTATCGCTCAAATCATTCATTTCTTCGTTTTGTCGGGAAATGTCCTCATTCGAAGATTTATTGGCGTTTATTATACCAGAACGTACTAGATTTGACAGGATGCCATTCAAATCTATAGTATTTGCATTTTCGGTTGCTTGAGGTGTCGATGGAGGGTTGAATGTGTCAGGAGGGTTGAATGTTTCAGGAGGGTTGGAATGTAAAGAAGTTACTGAAAGGTTTTTTTTGTGGGTTAAATATTAGTTTGCCATTTAAAATGTAATTAATACTTCCTATAAGGTTTTAGAATAAAAAAAATCGAGGATACCACGAATTAAATATTACTTTTTTTAATGAAGCCATATTTCTCCACAAGTTTGATTATTTGTTCTGAATTATCAGTTACTATATAATATTTACAATGGCTAAAATGACCTTTTACAAGCCTTCGAGTTTAAATTATTTATATTAAAATCGAATATTATATCTAGAAAAATTAATATTTTAAATAAATTTTTAGGTCATAAATTTAAGTTTTCAAACCTCCCACACTGACAGGAGGAAGTGTAATATTTTGGTTGAAAGACGAATTTTGAATATTACGATTTTCGTAATTGAAGTTTTGGGCTATGGCGATTTGAGACATTTGATTAAGGTATCCTGGTTGGAGAGGGCCGAATTGAGCAAATGAATGTGTGTAAGGACTCGGGAAAGAAACTGAATAGGGTATTTTAATGAATTTAAGAGAATAAACAAAAAAAAGAAAGTGAAATAAAATGAAGTATAAAATTGGTTTGGTAAAATGGAACAAAAAGTTATAAAAAAAATTAGAATGAGCGAAATTTTAATAAAAATTCAATAGAAAAAAAATGGTAATCTTGGCGAAATGAGATAAAATGTAAATAAAAATGTGTAAGAAAAACGTAATGTATATTATATTTACCATTGTTCATCATGAAAAATGGCGGCGGGGGTGGTAACAATATGTTATTAGGAATTTCGTCCACACGGTAGTCGCTTAATTGGATACAGGTTAAAAATTATATGAAATTCATAACATTGAATAAGTTACCGAGCATAAATAATGTGTGACAAATAAAAGGAATTAAGAATAGATTTTATATATTTTTAAATACACATGAAATGGACTTAGAATATGAATATTTAAGAAGAAACCCTATCATAATGAGTGACCAAAAAATGGGCATAATTTTAAAAATTTAGGGAAATAATATATTCTCGAATTTTTTTAATCCAATAGAATCTTATTTTATCAAGGAATCAAGGATTAAAATCGCAATACATGTTATTTTGGCAGGAAAATACAACAACAGGCGAGGGTTCTGGGATAGTGACCTTGGAGTTGCTTTCGGATATCTGATCATTTTTATGTTTTTAAGTCATATTTTTAAATATTAAAAAAAAAGTAAATTATAATTCTTCATTATTTGGGAAACATTATTTTATATTTCATCATAAATAAATCAAACTTTGAGGAAATAATTATCGAGGTAGGATTTGCAATGGTTGCAGGATACGTTTTCGAATGTTTCGTTTGTCATGTCATAATAGGGATCATCATCTATTTCAACTTCGGGAGGTGGTCCTAGTGTTCGAAAGTTTTCAAAAAAAATTTTTTTAATATTGTAGAAAATTATAAGCGCCCACGTGGTGCTTGAGATCATCTTCACACCCGCATCCACTCCTTACAATCCAACATAAACTTTTTAGGGGGCAGAAAAAATGCTTATAAATTATTTTGTAAAAAGGTTCATATTTATGTCCAAAAGTAACAATTACAAATATTACATTTAATACTATGTAATATTGTATATAAAAGGGTAAATTTTGTTTGAAATCACCTCTATATTTGTGCCAGAAAGTGTAGCAATTAAAAAAATTTTAAATGGATAAAAATAACTTAATCTAAAAACCTAATATTTTATCTTTAATATTATAATTTTAAATATTGGGGAGTTTAAAAACCATAAATGCCATAATTATTGAATTAAATCCCACTTTGAAAATATAAGATACAACTTCTCTATTAAAATATAAATATTACTTTAAAAAGTCTTCATTTATTTATAATAGTTAGATTGCATTGAATAAAATGCTCTGCTTTATTAAACCTAAATTTAAGGATTAATATAATTCTAGCCTTTTGAATTTATTCCTAAATCTTATTTGTAACTATTCACTACTTTTCCCTATTCCTTCATTTTCAATTTATGAAGACATCCAGCAATCGCTCAGTTGTCCTATATCTTGATGCATTGGGATCAAGGAAATGTCAAAAAACGTTTCAATCTAATGCAGATGCATAGATCTTATGTTCAATGAGCATACTACAGGTGTGTAAAATCAATTTTAAAATTGTCTAAATTATAAATAAATTGAGCTTATACTTCTTGGCTTTCACAAAGGTGAGATAAAGGCTGTTTAGAATTCCTAAGATTCCTTGTTCAAGGGGGAATCTAAATCTGGGTATGTTACCTGCATAATCCTTAAGTGGTGGTGTTTTCAAAATCTCACGAGGATTATAGCTCTACCATCTTTACCCATTTACACCTATCCCTTACTCATATCTTATTTCTTTTAGTTAGTTGGACACTATTTGAATTATTGGATCCAGTGTTGAAGTAGCGAAGTAGTGATATTTTAACTCTTTTAAATATGATTAATAATCAGTTTTAATTGACTGATAGGTATCAATAATTAATTTTATTGTTGTTTGACGGTGCCACTACCGATGTTAGCATATATATGTAATATCAGTCCTAAAATTTATTCTTCCTTCAATTTTACATAATAAATACATCTAAAAATTATTAAAATATATTTTTTATTAAATAAAAAATTATAATCCTTTTACTTTATTTAATTTTGAAATTTAAATTTATATTTAAAAATATACATTATAAATCTAGTTAGCCATATAAATTTAGTTATTAAAAATGTGTGAGATTGTTGAAGATAGTGAAATTTCTTTGGTATATATATATATTATCCTTTCCCAAAATTTAAAAAATACTTTAATCATGAAGAAAAAATTACTACTGGTTATCAGTTTCGATGCAAGAAAATTTTGCCAACCACTGGTAGATTCTATGCTAAAGGGCATTAAGAAAAGGTCAAAACTTTATTTTTATTTTCTATTATACAATTATATAAAATGAATGATTGATTAGCCATAATTTAAATTGGCTTAATTTACAACTCAATCTATAATATTAATATAAAATTCAAAATTAATATATTATTAATTACCTTGTGTATAATATTTCTTTTTAAATCTTTATTTACCATAATTTAATGCTATTTTAATATTTTTTTATAAATGAATCTAAATCTTAGATAAATTTAAATTTTGAAAATTAAATAGGTATTTTTCTTATTTTATAATTAATACAATCGCTTTATATAAATTAGATTTCCAGATCTGTATGATGATGATAATGTAATAGCTGCTATCGTTCATCTTAGTTTCAAGTTAAATTGGCTATACATTAATTTGACTGAATCTAAATGGCAACTTGATAGGCTGATGGTAACATTAAAAAATGCCAAGCCTAACCACGATACTAATACTATAGCAAGATCGAAACCGTGGCCTTCCATAGACGATTTTTTTTAAATAAATAATAATAATATTATTAAACCTCTAGATTATTTTTTTAAATCTAAAAATACTCATTTAACTATCTTTGATGATTTTTTTCATATAAAAAGTGTGTTTATTAAATTTAATACTGCGTTGCCCTCAAGTGCTAGTGCTGAACGATTATTTAGTATGGCAAAGCTTATATTTTCTGATCGTCACTCTTGACTTGGGGATGACAGTACAAAATGTTATTATTATAAAGTGCAATATTAAATAAATTATATATATATATATGTAACAAATTATAGTCATGTTTTTATACCAATATTTTATTTGTGGAAATAAAGTTATGTAAAAAAAAATTTTATAAAAAATCAAAATAACGTAAAAAGTAGCTAATAGCACGCTACTCATTTGAAAACGATAGCGATAGAGCGCTATTTTTTTATAAAATAGCGGTAGCGCGCTACTTTTAAAAGTAGCGTTTAACAACACTGATTGTATCCAACTATTTTAACATTTTAGTTATGTCATTCAAATAATTTCTCCATTTTGCTTCATTATATATATTATTTCTTTTGGAATAAAAAATTCTAAAACCTAAAAGTTTGATGCTATGAGCTTTCCCGTCAAGTAAAACATTAGCATTATCGCCGTCAGAACTAGATCCGAAATGGATTTGATAAGGGAAGGAATCTATAAACAATTCTTTCGAAGGGGCGCCTAATTTAAAGGAATGTCGTCTGCCGTTCAAATATATCAGATTTTCGCGGTCTTTGTAGAGCTGTATTATATATATATTCACAAGGTTATTTATAAGAAAATGTATAAAAATGAGAATTATAAATAGACGTATTATTAAAGGTTGTAGAAAAACTGAGTTCCCCCAAAAAGGAACAAATAATTATTATATCAACATATATGTTCATTAATATAATAAGGAATAACCATCTTTTTAATAGTTATCTTATTTTTTTATTGCTAAATAGCTTTCAAAAGGTAAACATAAAAATACATATAAAGCATCTTATACTTCCAGAGGCCCCTTTCGAAAAAAAAAATATGCAACCTTTTCCCTGATATCTCCCAAGAGTAATGTTTTGAAGGTAGGGTCAGGTGACCTCATTTTAAAGCTGATAACGTGGGGTAAATCGTCGTTCATTAAAACTAGTCCAGTCGATTCGTGAAAATGAATTTCTCGTTCGACTCCATCAATTATAACCATTTGACAATCTTTATTAGGCTTGGGAGCTTTTTTTAAATAAAATGAGGAAATCATGTAATAAAAAGCGAAATCTTTATTTCTTATTTCAATTTTTTCCCCGATGATCCTTAACTTCCTTTATTATTAAATCGATATAATTTATTTCATTCCTTTTCTAATTTTATATCTAATTACAATACATGGAGAGGATTATCCCTTCAAATCTCTTTACACCTATTATACATAAAAATTATGAAAAAAATAAATTACATAATATGGATGGAGATATGTTTGTTCTATTGTCAACGTCACCCTGTTAATGTATCAATTTTTTTTATAATTTTTTTTAAATAAAATTATATTTATTCATTTCTTCCATAACAAATAGTTGATAAACTATTAAAGTTCTAGATCGATGTAAAAGAGTATAGTGGGCTAAAGAGGATATATTTTTTATTCTAATTAAATTTCAAAAAGTAGTTAGCATAAGGTTGCTTCTTATAATAATTTTTTGTACTAGTTATAACTAGACTATCAAGTCAAAAATTAAATTTTTTAACTTAGGCAAGATTTTTTTTTGATTTAAATCAAGGTTTTTTTAAAGGTTAAATATTATATGACAAAAACTTTAACGGGGAATCAAATTTTATACCGTTTAATTTATGTAACATTATAAATCATATTAAAGAGAAAATTAAATTTACAATTTGAAAAAATAGGTCTATATAAAATACAAATGATTTTAATTGCCCGCTTATAAGCATAGTTATAGAAATGAAAACATGTTAAATATAAGAAATACCATTAGTATACTTTCTAAATTTCGAACTCATAAATGTGCATTTAAAAAGTGTAAAGGGGCAATTTAGAAATAATCTTCTTGCTACTGCCCTAAAGCATTCTAGTGAAGGCAGACAGAATAGATAGTAACCACATATTTAAGCCTAGCCAATAGGAGTAAAAATTGTGAGGAATAAAAAAAAAATTTTAAAAAACAATTCATCAAAAAATTATAAATATCATTCTCAAATGACCTTCATGATATATATTTAATTTATTATTGTTGATTAAATTTTAAAAAGAATACTAGTTATATATTTGGTAATTGTTTATTAATACTAAAATTTAAAATATAAGATTAAATTGATTTTAAAAAATTCAATATCAGGAATTTTTAAGCATAGAAAAGACAAAACATTTTCCACTTATTAAACTGCTAAAATAATTTTAAATAATATTCCAAAGTATTTGTAATAAATTTCAGGTGACTTGTAAGAGAAAAATTTATAATTATTTTATTTAGTTGAAATAAGAAATGTTTGACAATACTTTTTTTAAAAAAATTCATTAATTTTTACCAATCTTGAAACTACCTATAAAAAAACCGTGCTCGAAAAATTAGGTTTAAATTTTAAAAAATCACTTTATGGTTCTGCTCCTTCTTTACAAAAGGAATTCTGAAGGCGTTATTCCTGTTGAACTTTTGATTTTGGATGATGTTCCTGCCATTATTACCACTGGTTGGCAAATGTGGTGGAGATTTCTTATTCGCGTTATTGTGATTACCAAAATTAAATCTTCTGTTGAAGAGGTCAAAAATTTGTTGAAGTTGCTGAATGAGAGTTTTGTGCTGCAATGAGCTCAATTTCCCGCCTTCCATTAAAGAGGCCGCCTATAAACGTTTGAGTGATAAAAATTATATTTGAAAATATCATCAAAAATGCAATTAGTAATTTTTCTTTATAATTTTATTTGGATAATCTTTCTTTTTTAATTTGTATGTCCCTTTAATCAATGAACATAAATCCACATAAAAAGTTCTCCATTTGAAATTATTTTTCCCAAATTTTCCTATTTTTAAGTCATATATGCTGATTTTATTTCTATTTTGTATTAATCATCTTATTCTTCACTTATAATTATTTCAATTAATTTTTTTTTACAGATTTAAGAATTTGAGCTTGCTTTTCCGTATCTAGCGCACCTTTTCTTCCCTGCATTGACGTCTCTCTTATAAGTTTGGAAATTGATATTTCCATTGATTCGATTGAGTCACTGTGGGTAACCTCGAAACTTTTAATGATTTGTTTGTGCAGAAATAAATATTAAGTTGGCAATTGTTTCTTAGAACAAGAAAAATTTATAGCTGTGAAAAAGGTAACTGTTGGAAAATTAATTACATCTTAAGTTTTTTGGTTGGCTTTAAGTGAACTATTTCTAAAATGGTAACAAAATGTCGATTTAAAACATTTAAATTTATGATTTTAAGAGATAAAAAAATCAGCGTTTGTAAAAAATAAACAATATTTTCGAAAATTGAAATTCAAGCAATAGAGCTGATTTCATCAGGTTCTCTCAATAAAAATAACAGAGATCAAAAGTTATGATTATTATTATTTAGGAACCAATAAAAACACAAAAAATTAGCTATCAAGCTTCTTGCAAATTTCCTATTCTATATAAATCTTATATTTTACAAATTCTGTCATTTTATTCCCTCAAGGAATGTTTGTTATTGTATAATACAATCAAATATAACTATGTACTAATTTTTAGGCATACCTATTATTTTTCTTACCAGGACCTGGCAGTAAAGTTTTCTTCAAATCGGCCTCCTGTCTCTTATCCACGTCAAGAGGTATCAATGAAAATTGGTTGGATTGCACTTCGTTATCCCTGTAATCCACATCACTGATATTGTTTTCTCTTTAAATTTAAATCATGAATAGAATAAAATAACTAACAAAATTTAAAGTACTCTACTATGAATCATAAAAGACATAGGAAAATAGTTGCCTTTTTCCCAATAAGCAAATATTTGTCATAAATTATTTTAGTTGTATCAATTATAGTTAATTCAACCATTAATATGATAATGGGATGAGTATCATATTATATATAATATATTCAATATGATAGGTTAATTAAAATGGCCATTATAATTTACATAGCAATCATAAAAATTACTTCCGAAATCGTTTCTTGGATTCGATTTTGCCTTCAATGAGGACTCTTTCATCTATAAAAAAAAATTTAGTTTTTTGTTTGGTCAACCTATACTTTTTCAATTTGAATGATATTCTATGTTTCCAAAAAAAAGCTATAAGTGTATATTAGGGCTGTGCCAATATTAAATATCAGATATTTAAGCCGGTAACGTTTTATTAAAGAATATCATATCAGGCTAATATTTTTTTTAAATCAATCTAAACTCATATTTTATTGTTTTTGGTTATTTATTTGATACAAAAAAATTTATTTGATACAAAATTTCATAATAATAAATTAATAGGCTATTAATTCAATTTATTTTTAATATTAAAAAAAAACCTTATTATTTCAAAAGACGATGTAGCTAAAAGATTGATATAATTTTTTTGTTATATTATTTGGAAAAATAAGGATTTAAAAATACAAACAAATCACAATCAACTAGTGTTGTAATTTAGCCAATTTTTAAAAAAGGTTATCTCTCAAAAGTAAATTATCCAAACTTGGGTGGCAGAAAAGTTTGGACTAGTGTTGTTAAAAAGTCCGATTTGGGTCAAATTTTCAAAATGACCCGATTAAGATTTTAGCTAAAATAATATTGTGTAAGCATCAAAATTTGGCAAATAGATGTCCAAGCATTTCTACCAGTAATGAGCAAATTTTTAGATGTTATTTTGGTTATAATCTTAATCACACCATTTTTTTTAAATCATCCCGAATCAGGCTTTTTAACAACACTAGTTTGGACTTATTGGCAAAATTTTGAACTTAGATAATAATACTTTGGGGAAATTCTTGATTGGGCTATTTTAAAAAATCAGGTAGATAAACATTGTCCATAAAATACACAATCTTTTGTGAAAGTTAATTTATTTTTTTGAATAAAGAGTATTGATTGGCATTGGTTAAGAGTAGATATAAAATAAAATCTATAAGATTTGTAGTAATAGTAATCTATTAATCAGCACAGCCTTAATTTAGATAAATTTTGCAGGCAATTATCAGACGAACCAAACCAATATTTGTTATATATCATTGGTATTGGCCAATATGTTTCCAATATATACATTATTTCCCATATATCAACCAATACCATGTCAGTAACAGTAGTTTTAGTATCAGTTAAAAAAAGTGCCATGGGTAAATCTCTATAATATAGGTTTTTGGGGGAAATAAATAATTCAAAAAATCATTTCAAACTTTTTATGTATATTAATGATTTAAGTTAGAGGTTCAGTTAACAGTCAATCCACATGATCAAAGGGCCTGCAAAATCAATCTTACAACTTGTTTAAGGAAACTATTAGGAGTAAATTGTGGGGTTAGTTTAGATAAGTTGAAAATGTATGTTTTACCTTTATCCGAAAGCCTTTTATTGTTGATTTTAATATCTCTCAAGACTTGTGCATTAGAAACAATTGATTGTTTTGATAATCTGGGATCTTTGAGTTTATTTGCAGAATCAATAATAACTTGACTAGTTTTCTATATAGTGATTAAACAGTTTATGTATATCATTTAAAAAAAAAATTAAATTACAATCATTTGAGATATTATAGATTATTAATTTATTCAATAATAAAGTGAAAGAGAAAATCTATATATTCAAGGTTACATGCATTATGTTTAAATAAGACTATATCAAAAACAACAAATTTATACCTTTGGAAAAAATTTTGGATTAATATGAATAGTTGTATTCTTCTTTTCACCAGGGTCCTTAAGTTTGATGGGTATTTCAGGTGGGCTAATCAAGGTGGAATTTGTAACCTGAGCTGTGATAGGCCAAGCAGGATCTAATTTTTGAACTGCTTTATCTAAGGTATACATAAGTTTTTGTGGAAAAATATCTCCCCATGTTTGTCTTAATTTGTACAACATTAACCTTGTTTTTTCATCAACCTTTGCAATGGTATATTTAAATGTAAAATTCAGAGTAGAATATTGATTCCCCTATTTTATTTTAATGCTTTTTAGAACAGTTACATTATAGTCATTTAAAAGAATGGAAATCAATTATATTTAAATTGCATTAATAATTACTTCAATTAAAATTAATTTTTTATGGCTTTAGATTTAAATTAATCTATAGTTTTTTCAGGCCCTATATTAACAATAAAGCCTAATTATTTTATTTAAATTGAAGGTATATTTTGTATAAACTTGCTAGAAGTTATAATTTGACTAGATGCCTATGGCATTTTGCTTTTATAAGGCCTAATAATTAAATAATTCATATTACTTTTTCAAATACTTGGCAAAAAATGTTCACTATATTAGGAATGCTATATTCTAAATAAGGTTGTTTTACATTTTTTATAATTGAATCGATGAGGTACAGAAGAGGTAATTTGTGAATTGGATTTGCCTTTAGATCATATGATATAAATCAAATTTTGTTTAATAATATATTATTAAAATTCAAATGAACTATATAAACGTCTAAATGAATTTTATTATTAATACTAATTTTAAAAAATATACATATATATATATAGATTTCTATATTATGGATCATTTTGATAATATATTTCGCGATATAATATATATATAAGATATAACACACTATTATTTCGATTTTTTATTAGATTTTTCCACATTCCACATATAAAACATTATAAACATAAGTATATATATTATAATAATTATATTTATGATATGTACAAAACAATATGAAAAATTGTAAATGTAAACCTTATGCAATTGATCTTCAATAACCTTTAGTATTTGAGGAGCAATTTGGGTATTTTCTTCAGCTAACATTGTTAACATATTTATTAAGGGTTTGCTATTGATTGTAAGATCCCCTAAAGCAGCTTTATATTCCTCGCATATTTCATTTTCATATGTTGTCATTTGGTAAATGGAATCTAAACTGAACCACAAACTAGACTTGCAATCGAAATTAATATATTTAATTTTTCGTGATTTTTTTTTACCTAATTAAGTGTATTGAACCTTTATATTTTATCTAGCTTATTAAATAATAGTATTATCATTTTATGGTTTAGTATACAAGTTTTTAAACTAATCAAAAGAATTATTTTTTTATAAATTTAAAGTATTATTGTAATTAATAGTAAATAAATATATTTTATAATTATAAAAAATAAATTTATTGAATATATATAATGTATTCTAACTTCTTACCTTTATGAAGCAGAATTTATAAAAAAAAACTTTTTGTCAGATATCTTGAACAGGGTTGTCAGATCAAAGATTTCAAAAAGTTGGATTTTATTAATATCAGGGGGTGCATGACGAGGAGAACTGCCAGAGCTAAGTTCATATGCTAATTTTTTAATTTTTAGCTCCCTTTCTAAATTTTGAAAAGGGGCTGAGCCCCCTAACCAAAAAAGTTAATATTTTTCCAAAGGGTTAAATTTGAATCACTTTTCTCTTTATTATTGTTATAAAAAAATTTAAATTGTGTCAAAAATAAAATTTTTCTCCTTTTTCATATTATTTTATAGCCACATCAAATAGAAGATAGAGAAGCAAATTTTTATTTTAATATTTTTTTCATTATTATCATTTTATATAATGATTTGGGTCGATTTTAAAAAAAGACTATTAAGATTATGAGATTTGTATTTTTTGCTTGAATTAATATATTTGATTTAAATTAGTTCTCTATATTCTTATAAATAATCTCTGAATTTATTTTGATGTGAAATTTTAACAATTTAAATAATTTTTATAGCCCTCTATGTTATTTTTCATCCTTGGACCCGTAATAAGATAGCGGCTTCAAAATGCACGATTTAATATAGCCATTGGGTTAATCCATATTTTAAACATAAAATTAATGGTTGAGAATTCAAATTGTGAATTCAAATCTAACCTTTTATTTTTAATTCAACTTGTATTACTTTTTATGAATTCAAATTTATCTTTTCAATTTAACTTTTTATTTTTGTAATTCAACTTATATTACTTTTTATTTTTCGTAACCTTACTTTTTGTTTTTATATATATTCTAATTTATATTTTTAGAAAATATATATATACCTTAAGAAAAGAAAAAGAAAGGGATATGATAAAGTTAATAATAATAAAATATATTTTTACATACTTGAAAGTTTATCATGATTCTCTTCTTAATAAAATCGTATAACAAATCTATTATCCACAAGTTAATCATTTATATATGTACTATAAATGCATAAATGTTTGTCTATTTTTAGTTTTTATAATTTTTTAAACATGTTATTCTTCTTATACTTCCTTATATTTTATATTAAAACTGTTTAGTTGTACCAATATCTAATAATATTCTCACAATCGCTATAGAGTTGAGCCTAATGTTGACTCCTACATCAGTGCATAATTGTTTTTTATTTTTTTATATAATATTTTTATTTTAGAAAAAAGTCCCTCTCAATCTCTCTTAATAATTGTACAAATTTTAATTTATCTGTGGTTTCCAAACAAAAATAGAGATGGCTGATTAATCAACATAACAAACGTTCCAAAGATCACTAATTCAAACAAATTCTATCACGGTTAGTTATATTTATATATATTAAAAATGCTTAAATGTTTATTTATCTTTATGCTTACAATATTTTTTTAAATATGCTTTCATATACTTTCTAAGATTTTAGATATTATCTATTTTAACTATTTACATACATCTATTGATATTCAAATATTACTTGAAAGTTGAACCTAATATTGACTCTTCTGTAAGTTCAGTGCATTATTTTATCAATTTATTTTGTTTTAATTTTAGATAACTGCTCCCATCTTATTTCCTCTTTATAATTGTTCGAATATTGATATGCCTATCATTAAAAATGAACAAATACAAATTAAACGTTCACTAGATTATGATAAGCATGATAAGTTCCTAACTAGACAAAATATTTTTTTGATATCCTCCCATAGAGATATGCATCTAATATTGATCCCTCTACAAGTTCATTCTAGTATTTTAATGTTCGTTTGATTTCAATAATGTTTATTTATATTTTCGCCTGATTTCTTTATTTTTCTAGGCTAACTCAACCTTCACTCACATTGCTACAAAACATGACAAATCTATTATTAAAGATAAGAGAAGAAAATAATGGGGACTTAACAACTCTTTACCCGTTCTAGAATTATTGGTAGTGGGATAATAAGAACCTGCCCCTGATATTAACCCCCTGCAGTTTTATTTTGTTTTTTAACTTTATATCTATATGTTTATTTAATATTAACTCAGTTGCCACCAAATGCAATCGTTATGCCACCTCTACTTCGCATATTTCGACATATATTTGATAACCACCACTCACCCATGTTAGATATCAGCAATAACACAGAAATATGCCTCTTCTGAAATGCTAAAATGTGGAATGGTAAAAAATTATCGAAAAGCTCAAATAAAAAATTCAATTTTCTACAGCATGAATGGGAAGTCTATTTTATCATTGTTCCCTTCTCTTCCATATTTTATATGTTTATTTAACTGGGAGTATTGTTTATCATCCTACTTTTTAACAAATATAAGCATTTAATTCTGTACTATCATTCACTTCATTAGGAGTTAATATAAATAAAACTTTGTCCAATTCTCGCTCCGGCAATTACACCTTTCAATTATGGAACCTAAATTTTCTTAAATATATATATATATATATATATATATAATAATAAATGAGATACAAGACAGGCATAATCAGGTTCCTTTTTTTTGATGGAAATTCAGGTCATTATTCACAGTTATAATATAACCCCTTTAAATTCTCAGTGATAGGCTTTTATAATCACTAATGGGTTTTCTAATGTTATAGATGTTAAATAAAATTACATTTTTAAAATTAATTAACATAAATAATATATTAATTAAAATAAAATATTAATTAAAAAATTAATTATAAAACTAATTTAAATAATTTAAGCTAAAATAAATTCTAATATTATTTAAAAAATAATATTAATTAAAATAATAAACTATAATATTAATTAAAATAATTTTAATAAAATAAATTTTAATTTATAATAATTAAAATATTCGAATAACCTTTTTTAAAATATATCGCGAGTTCTACTTATGACCTTTTGTAAAATATATCGCGAGTTAAACTTATGTAATTTTAATATCGCGATTTCTACTTATGATCTTTAATAAAATATATTGCGATTTTTACTAACTTATTTTATTTTATTTTATATTCAAATTTTTAATATTTTATAATACTATATAAACTTAGCATTTTAGATATATTGTATTATAATGTTAAAATCATTTAAATAAAATAATTTTCTTAATCTTAGCTTTCCATTAAGTGTTTCCATCATGGTGGCAGCGGATATAAAAGATGGTATCTTCTGGTTGATATAACAATGATACTTAAAATTAAATATAACTTAAAATATATAGAAACTTTAATTAAAACACATGGACACTTGGCAAACTATAGATGAAAACTATTTAGAAAAAAATGAATTGAGTATATGCATTTGCTTGGAATTTTTCTATGATAAAAAGAAATAAGGGAATGCGAGATAATTATAAGGTGGGGATATTTCGGGAAGGAAGTCACCATGGATATCCTAGCCATATGATGTGATAAATTTTATCAGAATTCAGATTAAGATGTAACTTATCATAGTCTAATAAGAAATCACGGGTTCTACGATAGAGATTATATTCTATCTAAAGCTAATATTTCATAAGAATAAATTTTAGATATTATAAATTTACTCATTAATTTCAATTTTATCATAAAAAACTCATATTTGTCTCATTTAAATATATCACTCAATTAAAAACCTATCAAGGGTGTCACTAGCCTTTGCAATATTAGGGAGCTCAACTAAAAATAATTTATGAGGGGTTTCGCCCCTATTTTCAGGTTTTATATTAATATAATAACTTTTTTAATTGAAATTTGAAAACTCTGGAAAATTATTCTGAATTTCATCCTTTGTCACTTATTATGCTTACAAATAATAAAAGGAAAACAATACAAGACATTTCTAAATATATTTTTTAATACAAAATTTTTATGTTTCAACAAAATATATATATGTTTGTTTGATATTATGTATCATTTATTTTCTATCAAATCAAAAACAATATCTTCTAAATCCAAAAACTAAAAAATAAAATAATAAATATTCCGTGATCCGTGATATATAGCGCATATGCCCTCTGGCGTTGAATAAACAGCAGAGCTACGCTAGGTATTCCTCATTTTCATCTAATTGGAACATAAGTTAAATTTGGGAGAAAGTTTAAAAAAATATGAGGAGCCCTCTATATGTTTGTGGTCAAGCCTTACGTACTTGTCCGCGCAACATTTCGAAAAAGGTTACAGACATCCATAGGCTTTAAGAAAAAGAGCGGGTCAAAAAAAGAGCCTATGCCCAAGAACTGCAGTATAAGTTAATTACTTTAAAGGTGGGTTGTGGCTGATTTTAAATTTAATTTTTCATAATTAAAGCTGTAAATCCATACTAAAAAAAATAAAAAATAAATAAAAATAGAAAAATAGAAAAATAGAAAAATAGAAAAATAGAAAAATAGAAAAATAGAAAAATAGAAAAATAGAAAAATAGAAAAATAGAAAAATAAAAAAATTTATGAGCATACCAATTCCATTATGGTTTGTCCTGATGTCCTGAAAAGGTTTGGAAAATACTAGTTCATTATAAAAAAAATAAGCCCAGATATTTTTTATTTAAAATATTTGTCTTTGATTCTGAAAAGCTTCTTTATGGAATTTTTGCAGTTGTTTAACTTGATAAATTGTTTGTTTAGTTCCGTAATATCTTTTATGGTTTTATAATACTATAAAGATTTATATTTTGTGTATTCTTTCCTGTTATGAGTGTAGAGCCATGTAATGGCGTCATGAACTAGATTTTGATCTGAGTTCCTTATAATGTGAGCTAGGAATTGAATGCGACGTTTTTT